CTTCTTTTTGCTTCTTCCAAATTTGTTGTCGTACCACTAGTATGAGCTCATTGGTTCTATGCATCTGTCCTTCTCTCTTCTTCTTACTCTGTTGTGTAGCCTTTTTAACACAAGTAGCTGTTAGCCTGTTGCACATAATCCACAAGTTATAGTAAGACATTGAAAGCAACAATTCAAGTACTTTTTTTACTTCTATCTTTTACTTTTTGTGTTAATTCAAGGACATAAGCTGATAATTACAAAGTTACTAAAATTGATTTCTTACTATGATCTTACTTAAGTTTGATTTCTTAGTAAGACATTGAAAGCAACAATTGCATCATTGTAGGCTTGGTAATCCGATGAATTTGAGTATCCCATATTGAATACTAGTTATTCTCCTAGTTGCACTATAATATAACCCAAATATATATATATGTATATATATATATATGTGGAAGCATATGAGTTATGTGTGTACATATACTGCACCAGTAACAATAATTGATATTGAGATACCAAAATCAAATTGTTGGATAACATCAAAATCCCACTAGAAAATTGAAATATTCAAAAAAAAAATCACAAATTGAACAGTGCCCCCTATATTTCTGATAGCATATATATTGATGGAAACAAAAATACCAGAACGAAGCTCAATCAATAATAAAACAATTAAAAAATCAAACACTTAGTGAAGCATTCAAACAATTTATAAAACAAAATGTATATATTTTTTATTTTCAATTGACTGAACGTGGACCAACTTTGTTCATTAAGGGCAAATAGCTTGGGGGATACAAATGTTACCCTTTTATGTTAGTAAAGATTACAACATAATGAAAACAAAAAATCCCCTGGAAACTTGCCTAATTGGTCACTTGGCAATTTAAAATGGCCTAAAGTTAGCACAATAAGTCGCCTTATATGGGGAAGAAATGAGGTTTCCTTTTGAGCAGTTGGAAGTGAGATTTAAGGGATTTGATTACCACCCACATGAGAGAAGGAATCCTCAAGAGCTTCACCTCAAACCAAGCCAAAACAATCGTAATCCATTCACAATCATAAAAATTTTAAATGCTTAAACACCTCCTTGATGTATGCTACAATTACTAATGGCCTGCATCATATATGCCTGGAAGGAAGAAATCGGAATTCAAATCCTTTCTGGCCCTATTATCTCAACAAAATCAGCAGCTGCTAATGCATATCAGAATGCTTCCCAAAGTTGCTTATCATACCCGTGTGAAACTCCGTCTTATTATTTTCTCCTTAGACATACACCCTATTAACTCAAAGTAATCCCTCCATTGTCACATAAAAGAACACAATGAAGCATCTTGTTAGAAGGATGTTAATAAACTTTGTCATAGTGCCTCTAAATCACCTCTAGCCTGTTATAGCTTAGTTTGCAAACAGTACACAACTAAGCATTGAACGAAGAAGTAACTAAGCATGGCTATTAGCCCATGCCACTCTTTAGTTCAAGTAAATAAGGGAATCAGTTTAAACCCAATTCCTTATAGTTTACAGAACAAATAAAAAAAAAAATAACAATACTGCAAAATAACACACCAATTCCATCCAATTAATATGAACCAAAAAAAATAGAACATCAAGAAAACCAAAGCCCCTGGAAAATAACAAATTAAGAACTATTATCTCTCAACAAAAACAAAACCAAAAACCATCTTGAAGGCAAAACCAAACCATCTATAATGTTTTGGGCTGGAATCTAAAAATTGTTGAGTTAATATTAGCCCTCGAATTAAATTTTGTAAAAAAGTCATTTTTTTATGTATAGATAGATGTAAAATCCTTTATACTTTATCATATAGATAAGTGACTAAATGAATACGCATAGGCCAGGGATCCCATGACAACTCATTCAAAAGTGCAAAAATTGGGGTAAAAAGTAATTGTGATTGTATACCAAGATAGGGTAGGGTGTAGAAATATCACATGTCTTCTTATCTAAATCAACCACCTTAGACAACTCAAGTTTCTCACTCTACTTAGAGTCACCCAGAGTCTCTTTTTCTGTATTATTAGACACTTTTGGCAAAATTGTTTTGTTAGCCTCTTGCCCACTTCTAAGGGTAGTGATTGATTTGAGCTGCTCCAAGTTACTTTTACTAGCTTTAGATGACTCAATACTATGTTGACCTCTAATGTTTTGGATGGGAATCTAAAAATTTGTGAGTTAATATTAGTCCTCAAATTAAATTTTGTGAAATTTGAACTGCTAAAAGCAAAAGCCATTTTTTTAAGGTATAGATAGATTTGAAGTCCTTTGTACTTTATTATATAGATAAGTGACGATGAATACGCATAAGTCAGGGATCTCATGACAACTCATTCAAAAGTGAAAAAATTGGGGTAAGAAGTAATTGTGATTGTATGCCAAGACAAGGAAGTCGTTAAATATAGCCTGGAAGTGTTTTATGATGTGGAACTTATTTTATTGGGAAAACAAATTTGAGTTCTTTCTTGATTCCTATCCTTCTTTTTTTCTTTGGCGTTAATTCAATAATGGAATAATTACTTTCATGGATGGTGAAATTCATCCCAAGATGAACTTGCCAAAAAACAAAATCAGAACTAGGTCCAACCCTTGATTCCAAATACCGTTTGGACCTAAAAGCATGTCTGGACAATGTGTCCTTTTTTTGAATAGGTAATCTATAAGAGGTTTGCAAAAACATGCTATGCCATCATTTTTTTATTGCAACAACAGATTTATGCATGATATTTTGTTCACATTAACTCAGTTGCATCATTCAATTTAACTCTTTAAGAAAATGAAAGCTTCTCAAAGAGGAAGACTGCCACAAGAGGTCACAATCAAAACATTTTTCTTTAACTCCCACATACTGAAGCATGATAACAAACACAAACTGAAAGGTTCTAATATTAATATTCTGTAGTGAAGTTGAGAACCTATATGAACCATGAAACTAAGATGACAATATGGAATAGAGAGTGAAAATGATAAAACTCACTTTCTGTCTCTTAAGCCTCTCATTCTACTCTTCCCGAGTTCAAACCTTGTTCTTCACTCATTGGGTGTTAGCCTGTCCATAAACATAAAATCTCTCACAACCACTGAAAAATGGAAGTAATAGGATAACCTTATTGAGATACAGATAGAAATCACTCTAAATAAAATTCTTCCTCTGCCTTCTGTCATAAGGGGATGGTGACATGGTCATTTGGGTTTTAGGGTAAGCTTCATCCACACTCGGAATTGTAGCAATAGGAAGAGGTTGTGGAACTGATGTCTCGGCATAAAAATAATCAACATATTCTGCATGAATTGAGGGGATGTGGTAGTTCATCCACTAAGCTTATTGTGATCCATTTTGTCATGAGAATATAAACAAGCAGTAAGAGGCCATATCAAAAGCCATGAAAGGAATGGACTTCCAGATAATTACTGTATTAACTGCACCTTAATACTTAATAGTTCATGATTTAACTTCTAAATGGTAAATGATGTATTCGCTGTACCTTAATATTTATTCCTAGAATGTGTATGTCCAACTCTTCTGTGAGATTGGTCGCCTGAAGTGGTTCAACTTCTAACATATTAATAATGTATAACTTATACATTTATTGTACATTTCGTATTTGTTTGTTAGATGTTTGTGAACAAGACGCAACATGGAAGATGAACGGTTCATATCCAATGACTAAATGCTATATTTATTTACTAGAGTTGGTACTGTGTAAGAGTTATATATCAGTAATATTTGTGGATGAACAATAATATTGACTGTATAGGATTATCTAATGGTATAACTGAAAAATAAAAGTGTAGAATAGTGGCTCAGTAGTCACAATTACAAATAATATAGCATTAATGTTGTTATCCTAACTCAAAAAGGGTATTATGGGCATTAGTTATGTCATTGAGGCTATTATATTCAATCAAAGGGTTTTCACTTTTGTTGACCTTTTATAGTAATATAGATATACATATGATGTTGAAATTAGTAAATATCACTACTAGATCCAGAATTACGTGTATATTGTTGATATTTTATTTAATTAGCTGAAATGTGAGGTTAAAAGTTAATGGTAGGAATTTTGTGTAATTGGTTGTATGTTGTTGAAATAGCTAACATGAAATGTATATGTTGTATTTACACGAAAATTTCTGTAATTTGCATTGTTTTGTTAACTAGGCCTATGTGTCTTGCTAATAATTGTGATCTAATTGCTTAATTTGCTGAATTCATGTTTTGTTAGACTAAAATTGTGCTTATACTACTGCTGAATTTTGCTGTTAGTGTTGAATTACTAAGTTAAAATTAGTTGTTTGGATTGATGACTTGGGCTAGAGTTAGGTGTCTAGGCTGCTGGATTTGCAATTCCATTTCCATATGCTATTTTTCATGTTTTGTATGTACACCTTATCTTGCTAAGGCCCACACCTCACCTTTTACCTTGCGCATGAACCTTACGCCTTGGTGTGCCTTGAAAAATTAATGATTAATGAAACTACTTTGGTGGTTGGTAATTTGCTGCGGAGTTACTATATGATGTGACAAGGGAGCTCTGGTAGAGAGCGGTGGGAGGGCGGTTGCTACTGGAATGAGAAAATGATTCAAGCCACGAGCGTCCTAGAGGGCGGTCTCTACTACCCAACTTGTCAGCCTTTCTCCAATTGTTTTTCTAAGTGTTCAAAAATAGCGCTAGTCGAAGGCACAAGAGCATAAGGCAGTCCCTACTTGTTTTAAGCTAGAAACTAAGAAAAAACTTGACTTATTGAGCAATAAAGAGCATTACTCAAATTGAATTCAATACATGACTCAACCTATATTTTCAACCTATATTTTGATGTTTAGAAAATCTATTTCATGAAAAGCCTAAGAGTTATTCACGGGTAATTCTAAATTCAGTTCCATTAATACAGCGTTGATGCTTGAACTCTTACCTTCCTTTGGAGCTTTCGGAACTGATTTTAGAAGCATCACATAGATTTTGATTTATAACAACGCTTCACAAAGCCAATTACAATGAATAATATCCTAACAAGGTGTGGTAGTTGGGTAAGTTAGAGAGTGCAAGAAAGATGGGATACGTATCTTAACCGTCTCATTTGGACCTTGTGGCAAGTAAAAATTCAGAGGTTTTATGAGTGTGTTGAATCTCTTATATAAGCTCAAGTTTTGTATTCTTAGTTCTCCTATATTTTGTCATTATGAGAAGTGTATTAAAGAAATACAGATACAAATAAGATAGAGGCAAATTACAGATATAGTGATATGATAAATACTTAAAAATTAGGATACGAATATGCTTAGGATAAAATGTATTTTATATTTACACTATTATTTGGCAACTTGATACTTATAATTTCTAATAAGTTCTTTAGCCATACTACAAAAAATTAGTTTTTTTTAGGAAAGTATAAATCGTCTCATTATGATACGTTATAAAGTGAACCCAACTAATTTAAAAAATCAAAATTAGGATTTAAATAGTTTGTTTTCTTAGGAATTCTTGTTTGCAACAGACATAGTGTAATTAATTCATTTTACTCTCTTTTTGTGATAGTAGATAATACTTAAGAAACACCCATGTATCTTCAAGGCCGTTTCGATTTTTGTTTATGCGGTGATGAATTCGAGAGAAAAGTATAAAACATATGTTGTTAAATAATACATATTGCTCTATGTATGCACTTTTATATCTAAAGCATATACATTATGGATACGTATCGGCAAAGTGTCTAGATATTTTATGATTATCAGATATATATGGTGCGTATCAGATGCATATACTCGAGTGTCCGACAAGATCCGGTATGAATACATTGATCTTAACGAAGTATTCTTGGTTCGTAGAATGTATATAGAGACTCCACAAGTCCTTTTATGAGAATTTGGAGAAGTTTCTGAGTTTAGCTTTATTTTTGTCATGCATATACCTTATACTTGGCACTTGGGATGCATCCCTTTTTCAGTGCCTTTTAATGAATATGTTTCTTTAAAAAGATGGCAATTGATTATGCTTTATAGTCATGTAACATGTCTCTAATCTTATGGGCAATTTTGCAGGTCTTACTGATTGGAGGGTCAACAGGTACCATGCTGGAAGCTTTACAAGTTGTAGGTGATGGCCATGGTGGTCCCTTGGGCGAAGTAAGTTTTGTAATTCATTATATAGCCACTAGCAAGCATTTCAGTCCCCGAAAATACTTTAAGTCACATGTTGCATGATACTTTCGTAATATACCAAATGGAATTGAAACTTTGACAGCCTTTCCTAGACACCTAACTCTAGCATACGTCAAAATACCACAAAACTAATTCTAACTTTTTTTTTTGGTCAGGAAACTAATTCTAACTTAATTCAAAACCACATTTGACACTTCCAGTGCATTAAATGCAAAATTCAGCGTTATGCAAGTGTAATTTTAGCCTAATAGAACTTCGAAATTTTGCAGTTAGATCATAATATCTACAAATTTAAGAGAATTTCGGGCAAATATAGCATATACATGATGTTGGGCAATTAAGAATAAATGAGTATGTTAAGATGGATGAGTGGTAAAACCAGAAAATATAGATTTAGGAATGAGGATATTTGTGAAATGGTAGAAATCACACGAATAATGTTAACTTAAGCGATAATCAACTTAATTGGTGTGAACATATATATATAGCTCATAACTATAACTGTGTGGGAGAATGATGTGATATCTATCAATGATAATGCAAGAGATACAAATTATCACTTCACTCTGGCACTCGCTTGGCTCGCCTCGCCTCGCTGCCGATGTCGATGTATAGCTTATTCCTCGCCTCTTTGAAGTTCGCTTTGACTAGGCGTGCTTTTCCAAACACTTCCTTGCACCACCACCCAATCCTTAAACTACACACAAAACATGGATAAAATTGATTATGGAGCCACCCAACAAAGTCCAACCAACTTGAATAGTTTATTCCATAAGTATAAAGTCGTAGGACAATTTAAGAATAGATGGTCCACACTCTCACAATAAACTTAACACAACACACCATTGTGGGCAAAGACTATTATAGGGTCTCCTTTTTTGGGGCACATCAAAGGTGTCAATCTTAACATGAGCAAGGACCCATGGACACACTTACACTTTTGAAGGCATCTTAGCCTTCCAAATCTTCAATGTTGGGAAATATGTTGAAATTGAAGGATCGTCAATTAAGAAAATTAAAAAGGACCTACATGAAAAGATATTGGAAGGTTCAATAGCCTAACATGATAAAAATTTTGATTAAATGAGAATGTATAGAGCAATGATAGAAGAGCCAATAATTCTGAGGCATACCTATAATTAAGATCCCTACGAAATCCAAAATCCTAGGGAATTGAAGAGGAATCCATTTTAATCAAAGAAATGACACTACCATTATGATAACAAAAAAGACGAAACAGCCGAGGGAATAAAGTAAAAAATGCCTCCTCTTCAACCCAAATGTCCTCACAAAAAAGAACTTTCACCCCATTACCTATAGTGAACTTGCCAAAATAGAGTAAGCTAAAATCAACCTTCCTCATTTCTTCCTCCAATCCAATCTTTTCTCTAACACTTCTGAGGGGAAGTGTAGTGTTATGTTATGTTATCCCAATATATATATAGGGATATAGTCGTGTGACCCTAACATAGTACACTCTTCCTTTAATCTATTAACTTCTTCTTCTTAATCTTATCTTCTCTTCCTAACCCTAATTACTTGACAATTTAACTAGAAAATTATGCCTATTAACATTACATCAATTTTTCTGGCCATTACGTTCATTTTCATTCGAAGCCCAGTAATTTGTTGGGCCCCATTTGAATGGTCTTGTTTAAGCCTGCCAGATCATCATTCATCCCATTTTGGCCTTGCCCAAATTCACCTCCCTCTTTTTCTCCCCTTCCTTAACCATCGTAACCCAACTTTTAAAATTCAAATTAGATTTAGATTTCCCAAAATCATGGGATTTTACACCATTAATATATTAACTACGTAATTATTGTGTTTATTTTCCGCCCTTTGAATAAGTGACGCTTTCCCGATAGAAAGATTTGCATGCGACAGAGATCCCAATTCTGTGTATCCGATTAAGCAAGCCTAGCCGCCAGCTTCTACCTAGACAAAAAACGTGAGCGCCTACACCATAATCTTCCTCTTGCCTGATGCACCCATTTTTTGTACCGCCATTTCCAAAAATCTTCATTTTTTCGTTGCGAATATACCCACACAGATTGACGAGCACACTTATTCTAATTCTGTAGACTTTCCCATTGAAATAAACATTCAAAGTTGTCCGTAAAAAACGAATGTTGATACAAATTCTCTTGGTTTTCTGTCTGATATCCTCCACACCATTCTCCTATCTTATGGAAGACATCCCGATGCCACTGATGCAAAGGTAGATCTTCCACTGGAAGTCACCCACCAAGAAACGAGACCTTTCTCCGTTCCTTGTTGAACTCATGATTCCACTTTAACAATCTCACCCTCGTTGGACCTTCAAGAAGACATTTCTCGTATTTGCAAATTTCTTCAACCTCTTTGCTATTCTTGCAAAATGTAAGATGGTATGAGTTGAAATGTATGACTGATGTAGACTGGTGTTAGCCCCTTAGATCGTTGGCATGGCTATGGTATGCGGGTGCTCGCCCAATGGCGCCCTGTGCCTTAGCCAAGGTCGGGAGGTGCTTGGCTAAGCACCACTATGGTGTAAAAATGACTCCCTGTGGTATTGATGATCAGTGGGATCCAGAAGCCCCATGCATGATTGAGGGAGGCCGTACATGCATGGGCACAAGCAAGCAAGGCTTAGGCAGTGGGTTCCAATTGAGGTGCATTGCAAGCTTGAAAGACCAAGTCATTGATTGAGCATGGTTTGGCACGTGACATGTGCTGATCATATGGGGCAGTTTTGGGCAGTTGTTGGCTGTCTCATGCAGCAATTACAAGGGCATAATTGCTTCAGCCATGCCTGATGCTTCTAATTGGTTCAGCAACATTGAGGGGGAATGGCAGTACCACCCACAATCATTGAGGGCGAATCTGATTGGTACTTGGAATCCTAGCAGTTGGGGATGTCAACTGCATGGCTGAGTTGACCAAAGCTGATTGGTGCCTCCATTGCCTAGGCGGTTGGGTTGTAACTGCCATGTATAACTTTATATATACATTGCTAGGGTCTATAGTAACCTAAGAGAATTTGGGTGCAGTTTGTAAGCAGGCCCTCAGCCAAAAATCCTTTGTGCTTGAGAAGTAAAAGTCTTGGTTTTTTGGCCAGTAATCTCATGTGCCTGCTGTGAGTTTGATTCTTGCTCATTTTCTATTCGATATATTGTTTCTGTGAACATATCATGTGTTTGGCTGAGATTGTTGGATCTTAGTGCCATCACAAAGCAAAAATTCGAGTGTAATTTGCACTCTGTGACAGCTAGCATCATGGTGGAAAACATGTCCTCCAAATCATGCCTTCACAATATGTCCCTTAAGTTGGCTACCTTTTTAAAAACTAGGTTCTGGTATGTTAACCATTTATCCTGCTTCACTTTTATCTCTTATTTGAAAAGAATAGAATTCAGCTTTCTTACTTCTGAGCACTAGAAAAGCTTGGCTGTTGTTGGTAAGGCATTTTCCGGTGTTTCCTATTTTTCAGTGGGTTACCTCCTATCATTTTGTCTTAGGTCGCCATTGGGTAACAAAACCTCGATCCTCTTTAAGCTGATTGCAGTTGTGTTTCTTCTTTTCTTTATTGTTCATTAGTTCATGTCTCTAGTCTGGATTAGAAAGGTGATACTGAAAACTGAATGATGTTTCTGTGCAACAACCCATCCCCCACCCTCCAGGAAGAAAAAGAAGGAAAAACATCATAGAAGTAGAAACAGAAACGATCGACGTATATATCCAAATATTAGTGGAGTGATTTCAGATTAATGGGGTTAAAAATAGTTGAGAGAGCGCACTGATATTACCAATATGCTGGTTGATGTACTTTTAAGTTGTAACATGTCCTAATCTTGGTTTTTTTTTTGTTATTTGATTTCAGAGCTTTGAAGAGGACAATGGCTACATAGCTCCTTCTTATGATGGGGAACCATCATCTGGGAACAGGCTCAAGATGAAACTCAAAGAATTTCACAAGAGGTTCTTCAAGCTGACATCCAATATGTTTTTTTCTTCTGTTGATTCATATATAAATGATTCGAGTTTATGTTCTTTGCTGCAGCACCTCATCATTCACAGCATTAGATAGGAATTACCTCACCCCATTCTTTACAACTCAAAATGGAGATGAAGAAGAGCAAGGTAAGATAAAAGCTATGCACATGACTCTTCATTAATGAGTTGTTTCAAGTGTTGTCTAAGGAGTTGAGTGACATTCACCAAATACTGGCACATCTGATGCCATCATCGAGTTGCTATGGCAGCTACCTTCTCCTCCTCTCCCACCCCCATGCCCCCCCAAAACCATGTGCAAACAGGGATACGGGTGACAGTAGGCATCTGATGCCATCAGTGAGTTACTGTGGACATTTATCTTGGGATTTTTATTTGCATAATTATTTATGCCTTTTGCAATGGTGAGATACTGTAGGATGACTGGATTTCCAGTCTGCCAAGAACCAAATTCTCTGGGACGATTGCCCCTGCTTAGTTTTTATAGAATGACATGGGATTGGATTATCAATGGTTTGGTTTCGTTTCCGTTCCTTGTATATTTGAGATTAAAAGTGTAACATTGGTTTCTGTTTCTATCAATTTTGCTTGGGTACTAAGATTATTGGAATTTTACTTGTACGCAATATCCTGATGCACACCAGTTACTCAAACAAGGTACAAATTTTGTGTTGTTTTTGGCAAGGATAGTGATCGTGTGAGCAAGTCCGAAGATTACACTTTTTTCCTCAACCTAGCCTGGTGATCAGATATGGATCTTAAAAGCAGCTGCCATATTATCATATCAAAATCCCTGGTTTTAAGTTGTAATCCGGCATTTGATGCTAAAACATTCTGAAACATTTTGAGATTGTCTTTATTATCTAGTTGTCTTGAAGGTGAAGGTTTACATTATATCTAGGCCACAAGAAAAACATTTCATCTGGTATTCATTGGTCTACAATCTACATGAGGTATCCCTTGGATACCCTTATGCTGGGAGAATCTACATGAGGTATCCATTGGATACCCTTACTAGTTCCCAGCGGTTCTTTGACTTGAATGGCCAGAACACATGATAAAAATCCTTCTGCTTCAGCTAAAACTGATCATTCTTTTGTGATCAATCAAGTGCCTGTTGACATGTGTACATATTTTTAAACTTTGATACTCATATTTATCCTTGCCCCCAACCCCCAAAAAACATAGTACAGGAGATTTTTATTGCTTAGTGAAGTTGATATTCAGTACGTTATCCTGTTTCCTTAGCTGCTGTTGTGTGTTGCTTATTGATTTTGAAACTTTGGCGTTATTATTAGCATGAGTATGTTCAATGTTTTCAGTTTGCTTATTTCATTTAACTTCGTATTTGATTTGGATAGTTTGAAATCTCCTGTTTTGGGTCTACCTATCAAACTACTAGTGATTAAAGCTCCTGCAGGAACTGGTTGTTTTTCATCTATGTTTAATTCCTGGTGTGGAACTATTAGATACATCATTCAGGTGGAGGTGCAGCTTTAGGGTTACTGCTTTTATGGTTATCATGAAATTAAAAAAAAAAAAAGAAAGAAAGAAAAGAAAGCGAATAAATTTGCAAAACTTTTGCATTTGAAGGTTAAATTTGCTTTGCTCATTTGCGTCATTTTGGAGTAATAATTGGGGGAATTATTTTCTTTATCTTCTTTTTTTTTTTTTT